ACTTAACTATGTTGTGTAGCTGCAATAGAGCACAGAACTCAAGATCCCCATTTTAGAGCAATTCATTCTCTTTGCCTCAGGCATTTCACTCTGCCACATAATTTTATTATATTTTTATCCCTCTTTTCAGACTAGTATTGTCTCTCAAAGTGGCTCTCGGCAATGAGGGAGGGGGTACATTCTTCAAGCAGCAGGATTATGTTGATATAAGAGAGTGTTCACACCCATCCAGCACATGGTCCATTTAGTGAAAAATGGACACACACACCCTCAATCCATTTTATAATCAAATCAGAAAATGTGTATTTACCATCTGGTCTGGTCTGGCCCTGACATATACAGACTGTAGAAAACCCCTAATAGTTTAATATATTGTCATCTGGACAATAAAGAGCAGCTGAAGCTTGTAGTAGTAGTAGTAATAGTAAGGTAAAGGTAAAGGGACCCCTGACTGTTAGGTCCAGTCGTGGCCGACTCTAGGGTTGCGGCGCTCATCTCGCTTTACTGGCCGAGGGACCAGCTTCCAGGTCATGTGGCCAGAATGACTAAGCCACTTCCGGCGAACCAGAGCAGCGCACGGAAATGCCGTTTACCTTCCCACCGCAGCGGTACCTATTTATCTACTTGCACTTTGATGTGCTTTCGAACTGCTAGGTTGGCAGGAGCAGGGACCGAGCAATGGGAGCTCACCCCGTCGCGGGGATTCAAACTGCCAACCTTCTGATCGGCAAGTCCTAGGCTCTGTGGTTTAACCCACAGCGCCACCCGCGTCCATAGTAGTAGTAGTAGTAGTAATAATAATAGTAATAATTATAATAATAATAATTTGCACCCCGCCCATCTGACTGGGTTGCCCCAGCCAGTAAGCTTATAGCACAGCATGGAGGTTTCTTGCTTCAACCAGTTTTTTCTCAATTCTCTACAAATGGAATCTCTTTCAAGTAGTTTAAGAAGAATAGAGTATTATTCTACTTTGGTAGGTTCAATCTATGAACTTCCCTCCCTATTGTGAAGACGACAAATACGTCTCTTAATAACAAAGTGTAGGGCTTATTTTTAACCCTTCCTGTATTTAAGAAAAACCTTTATCACGAAAAGCACTTTATGGTCTACATTTACAGTAAGAAATGCTGTCAGTGAGACAGTAATATCCTAATGGATATTATATATTCATTGAAAAATTATGTATTTTATGCTGCAATCCCACACACGCTTACCTAGGATTAAGTCTCACTCAACTCAGAAGGGCTTACTTCTGAGGAAACATGTATAGAATTGCTTTAGGGCACAGCACTCTTAAACTGGGGGTGGGGGGGAGAGTGAAGTAGTGGATGGTTTCCTAAGCCCTGTCAGCTAACACCAGCCACACATTTCTTTTTTAGACAGTAAGTTTTGCCTATCTTTTTGCAGTGGGTTTTTAAAAAAAGTATGGTAGATTCAGGTTGGGCTTTGCAGGGAACGAAGGAGGTTTGGATAAGCTAATAGCAGTAGATAGCTCGTAAGACAGAGTTGTTCCGCCTGGCCTTTGGCTTGGAATCAACTTGATCCCCTCCCCTCTTTCCTCTTTCCTCTTTCCTTTCTCCTTCTGTGATGGAACTCCTATTTGGGGACTTCCTTGGCTTTTTTCTGGCCCACGTAGGACCAGTCTGGATAGTTGGCCTTGGTGAAGATTTGACGTTTTCATCCCCAAATAGTTTTTGATTTGAGTTTCTACTGAAATGAGGCTGCATTTTAATGTTGTACTTAATCTTGTTTTTAAGTTGTATTTTAATCAATTGGTTTTACCTGGTGTTAGCCGCCCTGAGCCCGGTCTTGGCTGGGGAGGGCGGGGTATTAATAAAATATTATTATTGTCAGAGCTGCTTCCAGATCCTAGCTCACAGAGGATCACGCTAGCCAGCGATCATTAAACAAAAGTCTTTATTGAGTTACAGTTTCCATTCTCAAACTGCTGCGTGCAACTCTACGTCTCATGGTTAGACCGGCGAAGCTCCGTCTGAGTCTCCGCCCCTTGTACACCAACTTAATATCCTAGCCCTGCTCCACCTTTTCCGCCTGACTGTTCTTCTCTGGGTCCCTCTGCCCCCTGGGGTCTCTTCTTCCGGGATTCCTCTGACGCTGACGCTGACCCTGACTCTTCTCCCTCCTTTCGGCGGGCTTTAGGACCTGGCTCCCTTTCCGGGCTGCCTACTGTGCCACCTTCCTGTGCATTTGAACTTGCGCGCGCGCCCAACCGTCCACCTTCCGTCTGACAGTGACTTCGCTCCCCGATGGAGGTGTGGCCACACCTGACTCGTGCCCTCCCCCCTGAAGTGAGCTGCCAGCGCTTGATCCCTGGCTCCCTTCCTCTTCCCTGCTCTCTGGCGGTGACGCTGGTCCCGATTTCCAACTGCTCCCCTCTGAGTCCCCTCTGGCTCTATCTTCCTGGGGCGTCCCCTAGGCTCCCCTTGCCCTGGCCACTGGTGCTCCTTTCTGTGAATCTTCTGATTCACTGGAAAGACTCGGAGATCTCGGGTCGTCGTCATCACTCATCTTTTCTTCTGCCTCCTCCCCTCGCTCTCTGTTTCCTCCCTTGCCCTGCCTCTGCTCCTGAACCCCTGACATCCATCCCCCTCGAAGCCCCTCTTCCCCCTCCCTCCTTCCGGTGCGGGATCTGGGTGCTGCCGTGTCAGGGGACGAATGTCGGATACAGTTCGCTTCCCGTGGCGGGCCGCCATCTGAAGTCTTCCGGTTCTTCCTCCCTGCTCTCGTTGACGACGGTCACCTCCGCTTCCATCTCTGTGCCGCCGTGCTCGAAACCCGGGTCGTCCCCGAAACCGTCCATGTCCGTCTCTCCTCGTTACCTTCTGGAGACGTGGCTCGTCCTGGACCCTCCAGCCACCTTCTGCGGAACTGCTCCTCTGGTCGATCATCCCACCAATCCGAGGGTTCTGAAGCAGATCCCGAGGGTGACCCCTCCGGGGAACGGGCGTCTCGTGTCGGTTCCTCGTCCGAGTCGAACCCCGGAACGTGCTGGCTGAAAGCGTGGGCGTGAAAAGCCAGTCGTCGAAAAAGTCTGCTGGCATTGGCCTATGTGGGAAGAGGGCATGAAACTCTTCTTTGAGCAGAGGTTCGTCTAAAGCGTAGCCCGGCACCCAGCTGTTGGCACTGGCCGGGGTGCCCTCCTTGGCGAGAAGGTATTCTACCCCCTCTTTCCCCCATCTGGAGTCCAAAATCTCCGTGGCTTCGTTGATGCGCTCCTCCCGTGCCACTCCCCCCTGCCCGGTTCTCTCTCGGAGCGGACCCGGTGCCGTTCCTGGTTCCTGAAACCTGTGAGGTGCCTTGTATGGAGTGAGCACCGATCTGTGGAACACCGGATGCATCCTGGAACCCTCCGGAAGAGCCAGCCTGAAAGCCACCGGGTTGACCTGTTCTTCGACTTGGTAGGGCCCCAGTTGTTTATGCCCTAGTTTCTTCTTCGCCAACGACCTGGCCGGCACTGCGTGGGCTGCTAACCAGACCCAGTCTCCCACATGGATCTCTTCGCCAACCCTTCTGTGTTTGTCCGCTTGTACCTTGTATGCGTGTTTAGCCAGCTCCAGGTGCCGCCGCAGCTGATCGTGGACCTCCTGCAACTCCGGCCGACTGCATCTGCTGTCTGCGGCTCCCCCGCCCCCATTCTTTCCAGTCCCGGGAAGGTTCTGGGGTGCCTCCCGTTGTTGGCGAAGAACGGCGTGACCCCCGTGGACACGTGCTTCGTGTTGTTGTAGGCGAACTCGGCGAGAGGCAGGTAATCCACCCACGTCGCAGGCTGTTGATTCGCATAACATCTCAGGTACTGCTGCATGATGGCATTGACCCGCTCCGCTTGCCCATTGGTCTGCGGGTGTCTAGCCGACGCCAGGTTGATCTTGACGTTCAGGAAGCCCATCAGCCTCTGCCAGAAGTTCGAGATGAACTGTCGCCCTCGGTCGGACAGAATAGACCGCGGCAGACCGTGAACCTTGAACACGTGGTCTATGAACAGTTTGGCTGTTTGTTCCGCCGTGGCCACCTTCGCACACGGAATGAAATGTGCCATCTTGGAGAACAAGTCCACCACCACCAGCACAGCCGTCTTGCCCCTCGAGCTGGGCAGATCCGTGACAAAGTCCAGGGCCACTCTCTCCCATGGTTCGAACGGAGTTTGCAGCGGTTCCAGCAATCCGGCCGGCGGTCTGTGCACTGGTTTGGCCCTCTGGCAGGTGTCACACCTCGCCACGTAGTCCGCGACTTCCCTCTCATTCCTGGCCACCAGAAGTCTCTGGCTACTAATTCCACCGTCTTCTCCTTGCCAAAGTGCCCGGCAGTGGGCGCGTCGTGCAGCTGCTGCAGTACCTTGGCGCGAAGTTCGTCTCCCGGCACGTAGATGGCCCCTTTCCGGGCTGCCTACTGTGCCACCTTCCTGTGCATTTGAACTTGGCGCGCGCGCCCAACCTTCCACCTTCCGTCTGACCGTTTCTTCGCTCCCCGATGGAGGTGTGGCCACTCCTGACTCGTGCCCTCCCCCCTGTTGTGAGCTGCCAGCGCTTGATCCCTGGCTCCCTTCCTCTTCCCTGCTCTCTGGCGGTGACGCTGGTCCCGATTTCCAACTGCTCCCCTCTGAGTCCCCTCTGGCTCTATCTTCCTGGGGCGTCCCCTAGGCTCCCCCTTGCCCTGGCCACTGGCGCCCCCTTCTGGGAATCTTCTGATTCACTGGAAGGACTCGGAGATCTCGGGTCGTCGTCATCACTCATCTTTTCTTCTGCCTCCTCCCCCTCGCTCTCTGTTTCCTCCCTTGCCCTTGCCTCTGCTCCTGAACCCCTGACAATTATTATTATTATTATTATTATTATTATTATTATTGATCTGTGCCTATGGAACTTTCTTTCCATGGGTGTAAATGAGGCCTCTAGAATAGAAGCACCCAGCTACTCACAGGCTCCACCCCATGCTGATTCCCTCCAGCTGGGATCTAGGGGCCAGGATTGCTCTCATAAACTACCTGGATAGCTCAGTTGGTTACAGCGTGGTGCTGACAACACCAAGGTTACAGATTCGATGGGACAGCTGCATATTCCTGCATTGCAGGTGGTTGGACTAGATGATCCTCGAGTTCCCACCCAACTTTACAATTCTATGATTTCAAGATGAAACCCAAGCGATCAAAATACAATACCTTCTTGAACATCCTTGTGGAATCTTCACTTATCTGCATAAATCGCATGATGACATTGTTCAGGTAGATATCACTCAAGGTTGCATGATCTTTGCTTTCCCGTCTCACTTGGTTGAGGAGCAAATACCAGCAATTTACTGGAGACAGCAGATTCTGGTCTTTCCTGTTGAGTAAAGATATTTTACATCATTTGTATTTACTACCAGTATCAATAAGAACATTACAACCATTTATCTGTATAAGTACATTAAGGAATGGGTAACTTAAGGAAACATATCCAGAATTGTATTACTATATGCAGTAATAATTTCTTAACACTCTTTAAGCAACCACTAACAGTGAACATCAGGGCGACTGCAGGATTGCAAAAGGGATTATTACAATGCATATTTAAGGGTGGTGGAGATTCTAATCTTTCATGGTTGTCCTCAACCAGGAAATGTTAAGAATCTCAGATTTACTTGACAGGGGTTGTCTATTACATTAGTTATAAAACAAAAGCACCGTACTTTTCGCACCATAGGACGCACTGGACAATAGGACGCACCTTGTTTTAGAGGGGGGAGAACAAGAAAAAAAATTCTCCCCCTCTCTGCCCAGCGCCCCTTCAGCGAAGTGGCAGGAGGCGCTGCGCAGAGAGGGGGAGAATTTTCCGCCTCTTGTTTTCCCCCTCTAAAACAAGGTGCCGTTTAAGGTGCGTTCAGTCGCCTTCAGGCGGCTACCTTGGAAGCCTGGAGAGCGAGAGGGGTCCGTGCGCACCGACCCCTCTCGCTTTCCAGGCTTCAGGTTCCTTTCGACCTGCTCTTTGGGGCTGGCGGGGGGAAGCCCACCACCAGCCCCAAAGAGCAGGTCGGGGAGCAGTGGAAAGCTTCTATGGCTGCTTTAGCCCCGCGCGCACTCTCCCGGCTGGAGAGGTGGCACGCGGCTAAAGAGGCTGCTGCAATAGCCGCGTGTCACCTCTCCAGCTGGGAGAGGGTAAGTGGGGCTTCTTTAGCCCCTCGCGCGCTCTCCCGGCTGGAGAGGTGGCGCGCGGCTAAAGAGGCTCCTGCCATAGCTGCGCTTCACCTCTCCAGCAGGGAGAGGGTCGCGGGGCTATGGAGTCTTCGCTCCATAGGATGCACACACATTTCCCCTTAATTTTTGAAGGGGAAAAAGTGCGTCCTATAGAGCGAAAAATACGGTATGTATTTTTAAAGATATAACCATTTAAATGACACTCCATTTGCCAGCATCATTCATATTCATGCAGAAAGTCACCAAACAACAAAGTACGATGCTTCCAGTTGAACGTTGTAGCGTGCAACTGGAAACAAGGACATATCTCGGGGACAGGATGTCACCACGCTTCTTTGTGGAAAGCAGGTCACATCAGGTGGAAAGACTAATAGTATGAATGAAAAGGAGCACAAAAAGACACACAATTGTTTCATGCTTCTGCTTTCTACACTCTGATTTCATGGAGGGAAATAATGGTCCCATCCACTACACCACTTCCCAACAACCTGGCTATAGAATTACTGCAGAAATAGTGCTTTGGTTAATGGAAATGTTGTAAATTTATGTACTACCTAAATTACAGCCAGCAGATACAGCTAGCACAGTCAATTAGATGGTGTTTAGGATGCAATCTAAACTTAAACCCATGACCCCTGCCAGGGCTTTATGAGAGTGACAGGGCCACTGCCACATTTGCCGAAGTAGAAGCAGTAACATAGCTGCCCCGGCCTTGAGCTGCTGCCGTGATCAGGCCCAGATCGGCCATCATGCCATTGAATAACGGCAGCGTGACTGACTTGAGAGCCAACTATCCCAGACCAGATCAGTTCCACCTATGAAACACCCTGTTTCGGCACCTTCCGCTGACTATTGCTGTCAGGCATCCTGCTGATGGCACTCCTGTCCTGCCCACATGATCGATGGTGGAAAGATGTGTGTGATGAAGTGGATTTTTGCATTACTGCATTGGTGGTAGTCAGCTGTCTTACTCAGCTGAGCTGCCCAATCTACCCCCTTGCCCAGATTAGTGCAAGAGATGGTTGGGTGCATTTGGCTGACAGGAACCTTGGGGATTCGGTATTTGTATCATTGTTTAGTGATCATAAACTCACAGAACGGCATCAGTCACTATCTTTCTACCTCATATCTCCTACTCTCAAATGACAATCACAGATAACCCCCAGAGTTAACAGGGGGACCAACCAATTCTATGGTAATCGCACACGTTAAAAATCAGAATACAAATGAATGCATACTGCTGTTTTTAATACTATATAAAACTGACTCCTCCCTCCCAACAAAAAACAACAACTGTCCCCAAGTAATTTCCTTTTAAGAAAAAGCACTTAAACTACATCGAAATATCATGGAAATATCCAATTGGACTAAGTATAGGTCACATGCCTGCACACTTCCTCCTTGCTTGCCTGGTTTTACCCAATAGATTTTGGTTTCTTTAACCAGTTTCCTGTGACACTGGTTTAAAGTCTCCCTCCAAACTAGGATATGTAACCAGAATACAGTCTTCGTTTCACATTGGAAGGAGTCCTTTAAACAGTTCCCTCATTTGGAGATTCCAACTAAACATTAGGAAGAACTTTTTCACAGCAAGAGCTGTTTGGTAATAGAACAAACAACTACCTCAGATAGTGGTGGCCTCTCCTTCACTTAAGGTTTTTAAACAGAGGTTAGATGGCCATCTGTCAGAGATTATTTAGTTATGATTCCTGCATTGCAGGGGATTGGACTAGAGGATCCTCTGGGTCCCTTCCAACTCTACAATTCTATGATTCTATGACATCATGGGAAACTTATTTTTTTAGGAAACCAGGAAATATTTGCCCAAGCCAGGTGGGCAGGAAGGTGGGCAGGCACATAGCTCGTTCCTACTCCAATGAACCACAGCTTATCAGACTAAGATTACAATAGCTGAACTGGACTACTGAGTGTATAAGGTTTCTTGGCTCACTTGTATTGTTGATGGTCCTTAGTACTTCTTGTTTTCGCCATAAACCTTTCTGCTAATTTTTCTAAATTGCGAGAATATTCAGTCTCTATTTCCGCTTTTTTGCGAAAGAAATCTTGCAGGTCTTGAAGAAGTTGCACCCTCATCTCCGTCTGCTGCTCCAGACATTTCTGTTGCTCTATTAGCTGAGCTCGAATCTCTGGAAAGAAACACACAGAAGGTGACAAGTTAAGTATAAATGCAACAACCCTCCCTGCAAATAATATTTTATAAAATCATGAAGGCACTGCATTATACTTTTACCACACTGTACATTACACCATTGAGCAAGAATCACATTATAATATGCTAGCACACTCAGAATATGGCCTCAAAAAAACAAACAAACAAAGTTAACTGGGGCTGGTCATAGGAAACATGTCGCATTTGTGTTAGAAAGACCTCACTGGTTCCCAGTTAGTTCCCAGGCATGAATTAAAAGTGCTGGTTTTAAACTTTAAGGAACACCTTTTAAATGAACATAAACTCCCTTGTGTGTTCTGGTCACCCCCAAAAGTCCAGTTTTGAGTACCATAGCCAATTAAGTTTGTTTGGTGGCTATGAGGAACAGAATTTGTTCTCCCAATTTGTGGAGAGCCCTCCCAGAGGATTTTATTGAGCTTACTCTTATTTTTATCCCACAGGAGACTGGTTTCATTCTAGAATGGTTTCAAGTGAGTTCACTTCTCAAGCTTTATTCATGTTTTAATAGGTCTGGAAATCTCTTACTTTTGATGGGGGAGATTATGGTTGTTATTTTTATTTTTTCTTTGTCAGCTTTCAAAGGAAATTTCAGATTCTATTTTTATGTAGTTTTTAGTGCTTTTGAGCTATACCTTTTGAGTCCTAACATGGAAAAAAGACCAGGTTAAAATGAAAATAAACAAACGGTGAGTGGCTTATGGTCTTAAGAAAAATGAGTTGGTACTGAAGAAGTACAGTGGTGCCCCGCAAGACGAACGCCTCGCAAGACAAAAAACTCGCAAGACGAAAGATTTTTTCATTTTCGAGTTGCTTCGCAAGACGAATTTCCCTATGGGCTTGCTTCACAAGACGAAAACGTCTTGCAAGTTTGTTTCCTTTTTCGTAAAACCGTTAATACCCATGGTGCATTGCTTGAAGAGGTGCAGTTGCGACTTGACTTCGAGGAGCAACACATTGCACGCGGTGTGGTGGCCTTTTTGAGCTTTTTAAAGAGTTTGCTGAATTTTTGAAGCTTTTCCAAAACTTCTTTTGCAGCTGTTTGGTAAGTTAAACTTTTAAAACTTTTTGGGGGGGTTTTGGATTTTGGGTTGGGGTGTTTAGAATTCAAGGACTTGGTGTTGGGGAGAGGTTTGCAAGAATCTGGGAGCTTGTGTGGTTTTTTTCTGCATTTTTATGATTTTCAGTGACCATTGGGCCATTTTTTTTTTTTTAAAATAAAATTCTGGGTTTGAATTTCTGTGTGCTGGGTGGATGGGGGAACAGTTGAGGAGGGGTTTGCAAGAATCTGGGAGCTTGTGTGGTTTTTTCTGAATTTTTATGGTTTTCTGTGACCATTGGGCCATGTTGTTTTTTTTTGAAAAAAAAATTCTGGGTTTTGAATTTCTGTGTGCTGGGTGGCTGGGGGAACAGCTGGGGAGGGGTTTGCAAGAATCTGGGAGCTTGTGTGGTTTTTTCTGCATTTTTATGATTTTCTGTGACCATTGGGCCATGTTGTTGTTTTTTGAAAAAAATTTCTGGGTTTTGAATTTCTGTGTGCTGGGTGGCTGGGGGAACAGTTGGGGAGGGGTTTGCAACAGTTGGGGAGGGGCTGGGGGAACAGTTGAGGTTTTTGAAGACTTTGGTGATTTTTAAAGCTTTCCCAAAACTTCTTTTGCAGCCATTTGAGGATTTTGAAGACTTTGGTGATTTGCAGCCATTTCGTAAGTTAAA